ACCAGGGCCGAATTTACTCTCTCTGCTGCCTCAAGGCCAGGTTCCTCAATGTGCCCCCCTCACCGCCAACTCCTGGCAACCAGATGGCGGGGGCGACGAGGTTACTTAAATTTTTTTTTTAATTTTCCTTTTTTTTTTGAAAAACGGTTTTTATTTTTTTAAGTTTTTATTTATTTTTGTACTTTTTTCTTTATCTTATCATCTTTGACTTTATTTTTTACATATGTTTTATTTTATTTTTTACTTACTTTTTATTTTGTATCTTATTATTTTTAACTTATTTATTTTTTTAGAATTTTTTTCTTATTATTTTTTACTTTTTAAAATCACCTTTTTATTTTTTTTATTTCAATTAGTATTTCTTATTCTTTTTTTTTTACTTTTTCTTGTGTTTTTTTTAGTTTTTACTGATTTAGTTGGTTTTTTATTAACTTTTTTTTCACTTCATTTTATTGCTGTCGCACCGGAGCTAACAATCCCCTGTGTTTGAAGGTGACATGTTCTCTTTATTGAACCTGTCACTTCCAATACAGTGAGTGCAGCTCTCCCCTCTCACTGTTTATACGAAGCAGAGCTGAGAACGGATATTCTCCGCTCTGCTCCCGCTCTCCATCCTGAAGATCTCTGGAAAAAAGGCAGCCAGCAAGGAGAGAGGTAGGTGAGGGTTGGGGGTGGTTAGGATGGACCTGCAGTCTCATTACAAGTGATCTTGCTGTCATCACCGAGATGACTTGTACACGAACAAGTGGCTTTCCCACTTCGGGCAAACAGGGCTAAATGTAGAAAACAACTACCCGCCCGGAACTGCATGTCCCAGACGAGGGATTCTACACCCCTGCCGCCCCTCTGCTCCCTGCCGCCTCGGTGGCCTTGTGGCAAATCTGGCCATGAGCGTTACTGGGTTCTAACAGGGAAACCTTGCAGACGCTGCCTACCAGATCTCGAACATGGGACTAAGAATTATCTGACCCACCCTGACCTAGCAAGGTGTCCACAACTGTGGAGCAAGAGCCAGGAGCCTCAGCTAAACAGCTAAGCACATTCGCCTGACTGTGGACAAGACCGATGAAGGGACTATCCCCAATGGGGAGTACCTGCAGCCAGTGCAGCATGAGCTGCCTGCTGACAACACAGGGCCCTGTCATGTCATGTAGGAAATGAAGCACAGGTGTGCAAACCCCTCTCATTAGAATGAAGACTACAGGATCAAGAGGTCCAGAAGGCAGTGCAGTGTCTGAATATGCATCCAGTTAGGGGCCAAGTCACTTGCCCTTGTCACAGAGGGAATTCCTAAATATTTCCAGATGTGAAGGTCTTACAGCACCGTACACCCCAGGTATGAGGACATGAGTGCAAATGGAGTCCTCAAAGGATGCAGGGGACAAAACCATACCAGTAACCCTAAATGGCTGAGGGATGCCACCAGGGCCTTCTTGGTACATAGGGACCATCTGAATGTCTCACCTAGAATCGAAACTCCCAGGAAAATATTTGTGGGGGATATTTGCAAAGGCAAGGTTCCAATAGAGCAGGAACAAAGGGTCCAAGGGTGTAGGGAATCTAGTAAGACCTATATAAATACACAGATATGTACAGAAGCACTGTAGACATGGTGAAGTGCAGCTGAGAGAGATGCCCTACCCAAGAGGTTAGCACACACAGCCACCTAATTTAAAAAAAGTAGTGACCTGACCTCTGGCTTTGGGCACCAACAGCCTGGGTGGGAATTAGACTCAGAAAGTCTATAAATACTTACTGCCATGGCAGATTATGTAGATGGGAGCACACTCTGAACAACCATGGTGTTGCAAATTACAGTTTCAAAAGCAGGTCCAAAGAGACAATGTCCATCTATAGGGTAAAGGGCTCAGTTGTTCTGTCCCACGCACGCCTGTGTGCCATTCACATTTGTACCAGACATCAATCCCATGCAATATGCCAGATTACAGGCTTGCAACAAGGTATCACAACTAAAGCACAAAGTTTTAATTCTGAATTCTGCTCTAACACGTCTATGAAACAGCAACCTACCCTAGTGGTAGTGTGATCCTCTTTAAAAGATTCCACTCACTCTGACATGGTTTGAGAGAACAAGATGACTGCCAACACAGGGCAGAATGCCAAACCAGCAAATTTAAACTGGAATTTAAGTAGGGAATTCTACTTCTTGTCAGAGAAACCTTTTATTATGTGGTATCTCTGTTTAACTGTATGACTGGTGCACAGTGGGCACAGACCACTGATTAAAAAAAATCCCTTCTCAAAAAGGAAATGTTCTGGAAAACTCTCAGGGTGTTTCCAGTCTGCATAGAGGAATGCCTCAAAAAGCAGGTGTAGCAGAAAGGTCTTTGCAGCTGTAGGAGCTCTATAAGACTGAAGGGGTGGAACAGCTGGCTGGTGTGCACTATATCATTAATATTTGAAACAACACCCTGTATATCTGGGTCAACTGCAGGAGATTGTGGTGACCCAAAAACAACCTCTCCTGACTGCTGAGACTCTGAGTCTGAATTAAATATGGCAAAATGGGCTGCATTCCCGGCTTAATTTACTCAGGAGGATCACAAACAGACTCTGCTGCCAGAGTGTGTTTAGAGCCCCTATTGGCAGACTACTCCAGTTAAGGCCAGTCGGCACAAACAGTTAGGAAGTCCAGAGTGGACATGGAGGTCCCTGTGGACATGGGGGAGGCCTCAACCCTGTCTAACCCCATCATTAGCCAAGTCTACTGAAGTAGACTTGGCTAATGATGACCCTAAAAAAAGCAGTCCCAGGTTCTAGATTACAAGCGTCAGTTCCATCTGGAGATAAAGGATAAACGCCCCAGTACCGCTAACAGAGCATTGGGCTGATGTCACCTGTGGCAGCAGGACTTTCCTCTCTATGTCTTTGGGAAGATATGTTGTGCCATCTAGCAGTATCCAATTAGACCCAATGTGAGGAAAGGCCTCATGTAATTATAAACCTGGGCAGCAGGTACTGATAAGGATTTTAGACAGTTGGAGCTTATCAAATCAAAATATACTGGCAGTTAAATCAAACCCGAGATCAAAGATCCACATAGTGCTTTAGGAGCAGGTACAGTAGCAGCATGGTGGGAAACAGATTGCGTAGTCTGCGTGCACAGAACTCCACCTGGCAGATTACATCAGAAGTCAATCCCTCAGCTTTAACCCTAACCAAGGAAAAAAACAGTGGTCAATGTAAGGTTGAAAAGGTGCCTAGTAGTGCAAACAGTGAGGAAGAGCCTGGTGCTTCAGCCGAAGCGATTTTACTCATAAAACTAGTCTTTAGAGACAGTGTCACACCTTGGGTTGTGCCATGGCTCTGGATCTGGAAAGCGCTCCACTGCTATCTAAGACAGTGCTTAAAGGTCTGGAAAGTGCCAAAATGTAGTGCCTAAAGGCACATTTTAGGCTAGGTCTACATGCCCAGTACAGAAGGGTCCTGGTATGCCTCCAAAGTGTTATAAAAATGCACAACCCAGATAGCTGATAACCAGAGACCATCATAAGCAGCAGTGTAGCAAGGAATCTTAATTAAAGACATTGAACACATTTCCACAAAACAAAGATGGCCACAAAAAATGGATAGACTTTTTTCAACAGAGTTGAAGAAAAAGCGTCCAAATTCAGAGGGAAACTAACTAAAAACTGGGGCATGCCAGGTAAAGAAGGGATGGTACAGGGGCTGACTTATAACTTTCCTTTTTGCCAGTGTCCCAACCTATTCAAAGTTCAGTATAAACCCAACTGTTTCTTATTTCCCTTAAAGGATGATGGAGAAATAACATTTTACATTTCTTTTAGCCAGGTAAATATAAAACATTACATATGAATGTTATACAGTTTTTATTCAATTAGTTAGTGGTGCTTTAGATGACTTTGCACATGTTTTCCTCTGTCTCCCTTGCTCTTTTGTTGTAAAAAGCCTGTTGTTTACAAAACCATTGCAGTGATCCCTTTTTTATCAAATGGCCCTGTCCAAGATTTCAATAAAGTGAAGTGTCAGCTTCCAAACAAGCAGCTTTTGTGGTCATGTCTCTTTAGGTAACAGTGCTTTGGGAATAATTTGCTGTGTTAAATTAGTTCTTTGTAAAATGGAATTTTTTTTTATATATACACACACATATATATATATATATATATATATACGAGAAATTGATCAATAGAGGTGAAAAAAAGGAGGTAAATAAGAACAAGGGTAGGCGTCATTTATATTGTGCAAAAGGGGAAATACTGTCAGGGCTATTCACAAAAGGGTGAAGAGTTAGGAGAAGGCAGGAGAGAAGCAAACAATCTAGGCAAAAATAGCTGATTTGGAAAAATTCTTCAATTCAGCTCACTTTCCAGTTTAGCTATGTTGTCCTAGATTGTTCATTTCTCCGGCCTTCTCCAAACTCTTCACCCTTTTGTGAATAGCCCTGTGTGTTTTCTTTAACCTGTCTAATCAGTGTTCTGAGAGTGGCCATCTGACCGGTATCTTGCCTGACCCCAAAGACATCGTCATTATGTCGAGCCAAAAAAGACAAGATTGGGTAGCCATCATCTCAGCTTGTGAGACATACATTCTGTGTATTTATAGTAAAAATTAAAAAATAACAGCAATGTTTACTTTTAATAAACTTAAAAACAATGACTCAAAGTTTGAACTGAAAATAATTTACTGTTTCCGTTCATCTGTCACGCTGCTTAAATCTCTGTAGCTAATACAGCAGACTTTTCCTTGTTTTTGCTCTTTTCTTAAATCCTATATTACTTGACTATTTTCCAGCTTTTCCATTTGCAAAACTAGTATAAATGGCTGGATTCCTGCATAGCCAGCATAGAGTATGGCCTTAGTTGTTGCAGCTGCCAAGGGTGGCAAAGAGCCAACCATACATTATGTGGCTGTCAGTTACACATTAATGTGTATGACAAAAATTCCATACTGTTGCCTTGCTTGCCAAAGAAATCTAGTGGTTCATCATAATTGCTGTCTCTGCACAGCCTGTGTATTTTTCTATGTGGAACAGTGTGGTCTGTGCTTAAAACTCATCCACTCTGGGTCTATACACCTAGAACCTAACTATTAGCAGACCAGGGTAATAGTTTGGCCCACTGTTCTAGAAGACAGCTCTTTATTGACTGTCTCATTCATCCTCTCTGTCCCTAGCCAAATGTAAATGTAATACATAGCTAGCCAGTTGACTGGGTTAAAAGTGGCATGGTCAACTGCCAGTTAGGGGCAGAAAGTATAAATCAAACCCTGCTAGCACAGGAAGGATAAGCAGACCCAAGGTACAACCCCTACTTCTAACCCAATAGAGGAGGAGGATGAGCATACATTGTTGTTGTTAGGCTTGCACTGACCCCACCTAGTTAATTAAACTTCATTATGACCAGGAGCAATGCATAGAGGGGTCTGACCCCTGTGAGTGACTACATAAATACTGGCGCAGGAAAACTGCATCATCATACTGTGATGTAATGTTGTCATTACTGTGCTAAGTATGATTATGATCCATTCCCCCCATCCATTTCCAGTATGATTTCCTGCCAAACAGCTTATCTAGACCTCTTTACATTTTTTAAATCCTAAAATGAACAAAACCATTGCACGTTTCAGAACAATAAGGAAACCACAGAAGTCTTTGGAAAAGTGGAAAAAGTAAAAGAGTATCCTGAGTGTACAACATACGTAGATCCTGAGTAAATCCTAACACTAAGAAAGAGACTATTCTATGTAATCAATAAAAATGCAATTGTAAGCCAATAATCTATTTTGAGCAATGTAAAACTAAAGTGCATTTAAAGCTAAAACTTTTTTATGTTTTGTTTTGGATAGAGTGGTTTCATTTCTATCTGTGTCCCTGTTGGGGAAATTCGCCCTCGCTATTTGTCCTGGTGACCACTGTAACGGGACTGAATTTTCAGTTGTCATCAGAACAGGAATAGCAGGGGAAATCTTCCAATGGGGACACCTATTTCAATAACAACTATCTAAGACAGGGTTTCCCTCACTTTTAGAGATTATTTCCCACTTCCTGTGTCTACAGGACAGAAAGTGAAGGGAAATCTTCCCAATGGGAAACAGATGACAAAGAATAACCCTGACAGCAGTACTATGACAAAAGTATTGTTAGAATATTAGGAACAAATATTTATTTTGCTAAAGGCATGGTAAAATGCATTTATTGCAGTAGTCATAACTAACAGGGAACTCATCTTGAGATGAGGTATGGGCATTTGCTAAGCATGAGTAGCTTGAGTAGTCTGGGGGTATATTTGAATATTATTCATGCTTTTAATACAAGCTGTCATTTCATCAGGCTTACCCGACTTTTTACCATCATCTTTTCCAACTCTTTACTGATCTCGCCAAATGTTGATCTTTTGTCTGGCTCCTGTTTCCAGCATTTCAGCATAAGATTGTACCTGAAAGCCAAGAACACGTATTTTAGTGTTATCTGGTATAAGAACAATAATATAGTGGTCATAAATGCAAGCTAGCAGAAAATCTCTGCAAGTAGTGCAGAAAAAAGCAAAATCTGACACTCTCATTATTTTATCTACTCTCCTTATAATATATTGATTTGTTTAAACTATCTTGTTGGTTCAGAGGGCATGTTCATCTATTACCCAGATGAATAATGATATACTTACATTTCATCACTGCAATTTTCTGGCTTTTCCATTCTGTAACCGGTTTTTAGAAGGTTGAAAAGCCTCTCTGGAGCAATTCCAGGGTATGGATTTCCACCAAGTGTAACAATTTCCCATAGAAGAACACCAAAAGACCACCTATTTAAACGATAGAATGTTAAGTCATAAGATTGGAGGCTGTAAAAAAGTTATACAGTAGTGTTTTGAAATTCTTGGCAGTTTTAGACTATTTCCAACACATGCCCTTGGCTTATCCAGTTTCTGGTCCTTGCACTGCTGAGGTGAAGGGTGGAATCTGGGAGCAGGAAATGCTACTGTTTGCTGGCTCAATCAGTAGCACTATCTGCACACAGATCCCATCCCATGCTGTGACTCGACTCTGAATGTAATCCTGGTGCTGGAGTTGGAGAGACCAGAATGGCTCTATGCTCTTTTCTCTTACGGCATGATTGTGCTTCAGGGCACAAAGCCAGGTCAATAAAGACATGGTTTGATGAGTTTAGTGTGGAGAAACTTGAATGACCAGCACAGAGCTCTGACCTTGATCCTATTAAAGTCACTTGGGATAACTGGGAATGCTGATCTCATCCAACATCAATACAGCACCTTACAAATGCCCTCTTGGCCAAATCGGAACATATTCCCACAGACACACTTCAAAATATTGCGGAAAGCCATCCCAGAAAAGAGTGGAAGACTTCAAAGGAGGAGCCAACTCCTTATTAATGCCCATAGTTATAGAATAGGATGCCCACAAGTTATAAATGTATGATGGTCAGGTATCCACAAACTTTCAGCCACATAGTGTATTTTAAAAGCCGATTTCATGTAAATGTGTAATTTTATGAGAAGGCTAAAGGAAGAACTTACACATCACTCTGTGTGGTATAAATGTGATCAAATAAGGACTCTATCGCCATCCACTTCACCGGTATTCTTCCCTAAAATCAAAGCATGAGAAAAAGATATAACATTCGACTTACCAAGTCTTACATAAAATGCTTTTAATAAATAAATATGTGTCTGTGAACCTTGATCCTCAGAAAAAGGGCTTCAGCTTCAAAACATTGGGAGGTTACAATACCCTCTGAATATGGCACATAAATGGGCTCATGACATAAATTAGTGTAGCGCCCAGCACCCTTTGTGATGTGACTACTATGCATTTAGTGATCTCCAAGGCTGTAGACAGCCTGGCTGGTTTTGTAGTAGCAATTACATGGTTAATCCCAGGTGTCTAACCTTGTCTGTACCCCCCTGGGCGGAGTGAGACTCTGTCATATTGTGGGACAGCTAATGGTGGATACTGTAATATGTGTACAGTACAGCAGCCAACCACTGGGCTTGTCTCAGCCAGTGGTGCCTGCTGGGTGAGTGTACATATATGGGTGGGAGCGGCCATGTGCTCTCTCTCCCTCGCCTGGACCAGCCATGGATTAGGGCTGGGTCCTGTTCAGCCTGCCCCCAGGCTAGGCCGAGGCCTGGGGGTGGGCATTGGCTGAAGTGAGGGAAAAGGTTTCCCTGAGGCCTCCAACATGGAGGAGGCCTGAGAGATGGAAAGAGGAGAAGAACCAGGACCAGTGCAGGCTCTTGAAGTGCCCTGGATCTATGTGGACTTCCGAGCAGGGTCGGTGTTCCATACCTGGATTGTGGATCTGCATCACTACTCTTGCAAGGTCCGGTGAGTCTGGAGCTGCTGATGGTTACACTCTAGACATCTAGAACCCCTATACCTTCTTTCCCTAAGCAGATGTTCAATAAAATGTTCAATTAGCATCATACTACTGAAGTGGACATCAATTTATGGGCACCAGGAGAGGGCGGTTAGTGCTAATGGGCGCAGCTGGAAATCAACCCCTAGACCGACTAGATGTGAACCATGCAAACAGCGGCTCCCTGCGGGGAGTAATAGCTACATTAGGAATAGCTTTCGATGGTTAATGTTTTAGGCTGAGACCCCCTTATTTCAACCATAGAGGCCAAGGAACTTTAGGAACTATGTAATACGGAACAGACACCCTCTGCAATGATGATCATCTACTTAATATGTTATATATTCTGCTATTTGTTCTCATATATTTTCTACTGAAGCTTTGATTGTGCAAGCAGTGGGGATAAACAGTTTACCTTGCTTCTTTTTACATATGAGTCTTCCTCATATACATCTCTGGAAAGACCGAAATCTGATATCTTCATTTTACGACCTTCAGCCACCAATACATTTCTTGCTGCCAGATCTCGATGAACAAGCTATAAAAGGGACATTAACGTAGTACTATGGTCAGATCATAACAACATTTACACAATGCAGCTTTCCAAGTTACACATCAGCAAGTTTGCTTTTAGTTGCCCTTCAACTTGCCAAAAGTACCTAATAGGGTGTCAATGCTGTAAGACCACTATTCAAATCAGGACGATGTTGACACTCTTTTGACCACTTAGACTACAGTGTGATGTGGTGGCTTCATAGGGGCGATGCTATTAGAGTAGCCAGATCTAAATAACTTGCTCCTGGCATGACAAGCAGCCTAGCCTGGTCTGTTGTGTTAGTCATTGGGAACTGTAGTTAGAGGAGCTTTCATGTCACCGTAAAATGACGTGCAAGAACTGCATAATCCCTTCACTATACTTTTCTAGAATTGCTAGCAAATTAAAACTTCCTTTGCCACAGATTCCTTAAGGAATCTTATTTACTGCTAGGTAGGTAAGAACGTAAAGACGGTCTCCAGGTAATACTAAGCTCCCCTTTTCTATTCCCTTGTAGCTGGAAAAAATTATGAGGGACCAAATAAAGCACTGCATTAGTGAAATGGCTTCAGTGAGCAACCTTTAGGTTGCTTGCTGCCACCTCTCCCACCCTCCAACCCGCAGCAAGGGGATGGGGGTCATATTTTGCACATAATGGGGCTTTAATGAAAGGTGCTTTTTAATTGTGGAGTACAGTAATGCAATAAGTGACCCCAAACTACAATATGAATCTCTTTCCTTAGTCGGATGAACCAGTGCCAGTTTTTGTCTCACAACCATTTCAAAATACATTTTCTTCTTTTACTCATTGATAGATGAAGATAATGTCCACACAGCTGTGACCAGAGCAGCATACATGTTCCAACCTTTCAGACAATTGTGAGTGGAATCAAAGTACCTTCATCTCTGCTAAATACTGCATTCCCCTAGATATCTGCCAGGCGAAGGAGATGAGGTCTCCCATTGTCAGGGCTCTCTCGTCTGGGTTATCCAAGTAGCTGGAGTTACGATTGGAGTCACCACCCACAGAACTAGGCCCCACTTTGCGGCTTTCCCTCAGGAAACTTCGCAGAGAACCATACTTGGCATACTCCACTATAAGGTGCAGGGGACCTGAATAAAGATAAAAATATAGAGTTAAAAACATTATACAAACATAATAAAATATAACTGAGAAATTACTATACACAATAACCACATCAAAATGTACCCCTGCTGCAAATTGGAAGGACTTTAGGATGCAGGATACTAAATAAAAATACTAGACCAAATGCTGAGAATGATTGTATTCAGACAATGCAATCATTATGGCTACATCTTTCATTAGAGGGACACATTTGCTATATTACATAGTTACATAGTTACATAGTATTTGAGGTTGAATAAAGACATTAGTCCATCAAGTCCAACCTATTAGCAAGTTAGTTAGGCAGGGACGATCTTTCCTGAACCCATGCTAATCGTCATTAACTATCCCGTTTTATTGAACAAATTCTACCAGATAATCCTTTATTATGCCCTCTAGCATTTTACAAACTACCGATGTTAGACTGACCGGACTATAGTTCCCAGGTTGGCACCTAGCCCCCTTTTTGAATATTGGGACTACCGTAGCCCTCCGCCAATCACTGGGAATCCTACCAGTCATTAAGGAGTTCTTAAATTAATTAAGCTTTGTCTCTGATATTATCCTCATGTTCATTTGGTTTTGCATTGGCCTACATCATAAAACATTGGTTCTGAAGGAGGCGTGGCCTCTGAAACACGTAAACCAGGAAGGACATACAGCCTGTGTTCTTCATTTGCCCATCTTTTTCTTATGCCTGCTAAATCCATTCGTTTGTGAGTATGGTTTTAGCTGCTTTTATATCGTCATATTAAAACATTTTTACACAATGGAGGTGCTCTCTTTGTCTTCTCTTTCAGTTTTTTGGTTGCCCTAACCAGCGGGAGCTGTCACGAGAGTTTATCACATTTTATTTTCTACACAGTTTCAGGTGCTGGCGCTTGTGTCATTCACTTTTCTACATCATAAAACCATCACAGGATACTTTGATAACAAGAAAGCAAACCATATATAAAACTTTGTATTGCAAATGTTCCTATAAATTATTCACTTGCACCTCTGTATCTCATAGTAGACATGTGCAAACTTGCCATTAGTGTCCAGAAGATATATTCTGAAATAAATGTAATCCTTAATTGGGATTACTTACCATCTTGCGTGCAGGCCCCATACAGCTTTATGACATGTGGATGATTGACTTGCTTCAGGAGATTGAACTCAGAGAGAAGGTCCCGCAGCTCGCTATGTGAGGCACTTTCTGGGAAGAGAGCACAAGGGTCCAACTTAAATAAACCTGACATTAGAGAATTATTGAGATCACTATTTTAGGTCTTTTTCAGAAAGTGCAAGTTGCTTGGTTGTGTATGGCTACAATACTTTGAAATCACACTCTCAAAACAAAAATCCATCTCATGTAAAAGAAAGAATTCCTTATCTTTACTCTCCATACACCTAAGAGTATTTTTACACATGCCTGCATGCAGGGCAGCCAACAGAAATTTTGGGGCCCCTTACACGGCTTTAGGCCGGGCCCCCCCCCACCCAGCTGGACGCAGGGCTTAGTGACGCGCTGGACGCAGGGCTTAGTGACGTGCTGGACGCAGGGCTTAGTGACGCGCTGGACACAGGACCCACCTGAGAGTGACCCTGCAGGGCTCTGAAGGGGTCTCAGGTGGGCTGGTCAGGGCTGCATCCCTCCCCTCCCTCCTTTCCTTCCTTCCTTCCTAGCTCCTCTTACCTGCACACATGGCCTCGTCTGCCGCCGGACCGCCCAGAAGTGACGTCACGTCCATAACGTGATGTCACTTCCGGCCAGTCCTACATCAGACGAGCAGCGTCGCTGATGGGGCCCTAGCTTGTCTCAAAGCCGCTGGAGCGGCAATGCTGGGGCCCTGCGCTGCTAGGGCCAGGCCTCCTCGCCCTTCACCGTCAGCCGATAGTCATGTAAGGGACCCGGGCGGGCCCCCCAGGCTGCCCGGGCCCCTTACATGACTATCGGCCGTACCCCCGTGATGGCTGCCCTGCCTGCATGCTAAAATGATTAATTTTAGCATGCAAGTTGGTGTCCATTCTGTGCCAGCGGTGCCTTGCATAGTTCATTCACACCTATCTACTCCAGCAGAGCTTCTGTGCAGTGACTGGCACTGATATCAGGTGAGCTCTGGTGCGCTGTGGAAACATTTAGCATGTCTGCATTCTTCCACATCTCACAGCAACCAGCCTCAAGTTGGGTTGCAGTGTGAACAGGGTACATAGAAATACATTGTGTTCAATGTTCCCTTGCAGTGACTGCAGTTGATGTGGTCCAGAAAAATGCTAGTCGCTTCACATAGTGTGAATGTACCCTAAATATTATGCTAAAAGCAATTCAAAAGCAAGTCAGTAATGTAAGCATGTAATAGTTGTTACCTTTTAGCATTTTCACAGCCACCGTAGTGTAACCAGCTTTCCCTTTTAATCTAAATGCTGTTGCTTTGACCACCTTGCCAAATTCTCCTTCTCCAAGAGTTTTACCCAGGACCAAGTTTTTACGAGGAAATTCCCACTTTGGATCCTCCTTATTGGGTGACAAAGAAATGAAAACAGTTGGTCATACAGCCGAACTAAGTTACTTTTGGTCATTATATAATTTCTCATTACATAATTACATAAACCATTTTATGAACAGGGACATAACTTTGCTACAGGTATAAACAAACTAGCATTTAGAAATCGCATCATTCACATCTACTATACATCTACTATACCATCTGGTACATTGGCTTTGGCTGCAGAGAATCTGGAGCTGCCAGTGGTTTATGTGGGGGTGCAGGTCATTTTACACTTCGAGGATAAACTCATGATATATCACAATGAGCAAATCGGTGCAATTGGGGAGATTGTTACAATAAGCAATAAAATCTGACTTTTGAAATGACGTGAATATGTAAAAGATTATATCAAATTTTAGTTACTGGGTTACATTTGAGTCATATTTACATTATTCATCCATTGAGCTACCTATAGAAAAAATCATAGTCCCATGCCAAAATAAAACAGTTCCTTAATGCTGACAATAAAACCCTCTGATCCTTTCTGCTTCAAGCAGGCCTACACTAGATTACACAACCGCTTGACATAATATTATTTGCCGGACTTGTAACTGGGCTCTGCAATCGCATTCATTCTTCATACTCAAGAGCTTTCCATAAGAATGCATGAGCCTGTACAGCACAGTTGTTGAGATTTTGACAAGCACCCTTGCAGCCTTGTAGATGATAACTTGCTGGATATACACTGGTGAGTATAAGACAAGCAGGGTAGGGTTGGTGCAGGTGAGTTACACTTTAAAGCTGAAATGTGGTTGGTTTCTTCGGGACATAGCACACAATTCTAATTGCATTATATTTTACATGATTTCTATTTAAGACCTACAGTAATAAGAGAGAAACTTACAGGTATTTTAAATGTATCCACAGAGACTTGGTTCTCCATAGAGTCCAGAGATGGGCGCCGAGCATTGTTAGAGGAATAGCTTATTGGGTACGACTGGGCAGTCCGGCGGAAAGTCATCTCAGCAGAAGCGATTGGTGGCTTGGGCGAGTTCTTATGATAGCGATGAATGAAATATGATGAGAGCAGCACTGAGATGATGAAGGACAGAAAGACTCCACATGCTATGACTGTTTTACACATGTCATCACACAGCGACTCTGTTGAGAAAATAAACATTTAAACTGCAGGATAAGCCACAGGAACACTTATAATACATGAGATAGGAATGCCTTGTTAGACTGCAAATATTGTGCCCTTACTTTTGTTTGGCTATATAGACTATATAAACATTCTCAATACTTTATGTTGAAACACAGAGGATGGAAAAAGAGGGAAAATTCTGTTTCCTTTCTCTGCATTGGAGTAAAATCACAATTGAATGTAATTGCCAAAATGCATTTTATAACCTGATGCCTGTATGAACTGTCATCTTAACTGTCATCTGTTAACTGGAACAACAATTAATATTCCTCCTGCAGATATGCAGGATGTCTAGCGGATGTCTAAAGCTGGCCACACACTGCTCAAATTTTGATCAATTGTAGCCATCTGGCCTCCTCTGGACTGCCCCTCCATTTGGCAAAATTAATTTCTCAATTTTTAAATATGCATTAAAGCTTTGTTTGACCTCAAACAACCAGTTCTTTATATTTATCAGTACTAATAGCAGAGAGATTTCGCATAAATCTTCACTTACATTGCAGAATGCATTTTCATTCTTTCATATTTATTTTGGGTGGTCTAAGCCTTAATCAATGCAATATATCCAAATAATGAATTGAATAATGATGGAATGATTTACCATCTACAATATTCTTCTCGCAGTAACACTTGCTATGGAGGAAGCAATAACATGTGCCATGACCAGCCTTGATTCCTGCAGGTATCCCTTTTTCATGACCACCAATGATATCCAGCTCTGATTGAGAAGAAAAACACAGCATTAAATCAACAAAAGATGCAAGGATTTGCTAAAATATCCAGTTACTGATGACACAACAGGCGGCCATAGTTTAGGAAATTGCATATCCTGTCACCATGTCTGGTTCACAAGACTGGCTGAACTAAACTACATATGCTTTGATAGGTAAAGCAGTAGCCATATGTATTTTAACTGTCTACCTGGAGTTTGGCTTTAAAAAATACAAGCCTGGGACAGAAGACTTGTGTCAGTGAGAATCGAAATCATCAATGCAAGACAAACTGATCACTTAAAGACCAGATTGGGCATAAACTTACCATTTCTAGGCCCCAGCACATCCCAGTACAAAAAAACTAAATAAAAGCAGCTCCGGGTGCTATACTCACCAGATTCCAAGCACTGTCTCCCACAGGCTCACCTGTCCAGCGACACCACACTGATCCTTTTCTGGGTTCAATGACACAGGGCTTAAAGGAGAACTATGGGGTCAGGGCTTTTCCCCATAGTTCTCCTAAGGGTAACGGAAGGACACAAACTAGCGTCCTCAGGTCACCCCAAGCTCAGTATAGCGTGAGCTACAGCTCGTGGTATACTGAGAGGCCGCAGCCGGGATGGATCCCGACATTACTGTCGAGATCCACCGAGCTGCAGGATTGGTAGCTGGCTATGCCTATCTCAGTATTTCATCATCTAGAGGCAGAGCCAGCTGTGCCCTCCCCCGTCCGTTCCACCAGTCAGCGCTGGAGGATCGGACAGGGGAGGGGGGGAATCCCTGCAGGGAGCCATGAGTGACAGTGATCTCTCTGCAGGGATAGATCGAGAAGTGAGTGAGCGACGCTATGTGTTCGCTCACTTCCCAATCTATTGAGCCGACCTGTGGCAGTTTAATTGTCACAGGTCGGCTAGAACTATGAGGCTAAGTGATTTTCACTCGCCTCATAGTTCTCCTTTAAGGCTCTGCCCTTGACTTGGGTGGATGCTGCAGTGAGTGGCAGCATGTATGAATATGACACTGCGTACCATCGGAGGAAGAAAAGGGTGATATCACTGATTTGGACCAAAGACATTTGGAAAGAAAGGTAAGTAGCCTTCCCCTGCTTTACAAATAGCCTTTCCCTGCTTTACAAAAACCAAACTATCTCTATTATTCTCTGTATCCTGTCTCGTGAAACCGCTGTCAATGGGATGGCCAATGAGGGGAAATCTCTCTAACAAGATCACCAGATAGAAGTAAATTCTGACAGGGATTCTATTTCTTCCATTCTATCCAAAACTGAAAATCTAAGTTTAAGCTGGATGTACCCTCTAAAATAATTAATGCTTTATTAATGCAATTTCATTCCACACTTGGAGCTAGTCAATGCATAATTCAGAAAAGAAGCCAGTCTTTTTTATGTAAATGAATCAAACAAGTATAGAAGTTATCCTTTTATTATTATTATTACAATCATTATTTTACAGCCTGTATTGTACTTGCCCACGTTTCAGTTTCTTATACAGGAGCATATCATGAAAACGTATACTTGCGACAGTTAAGTTTTGAGACGCACTTGTGCAGTCCTGGGGGCAGATCGCTGTATCTTTGCTCTCCACAGCATCGCAGGTGCCATCTGGGCATGTATTGACATTCGGGGTGCAGGTAGAATAGTTTTTGGTGATACCTTGCAAAGTAAGTGAAAATATGCTGTGTTAAAAATGTTAAAGAAACTTAAAAAGAAGTATGAGAACACTATGGGATCTATTTATAAACAATTTGCAGACCTTTTTGCCATGTGAACCTTAATGAGCATTTGTTTTGTGTGCATAGTGGCAAAAAATAAAAGTTCTTAACATATTGTTTTTTCGGTTCAAATATAATGTAATGTAATACCTCATTATGATCACAAGATGGAGTTGAGGAGCATGAGAACTATAAGTATTTTTTCCATATGCTGCTCAGCTCCATCTAGTGGCCATAATTTGGTTTACATCAGTGGTTCTCAACCTGTATAACCTCAGAACCCACATTTGTCCTTGGTCATTAAGTCGTGACCCAAATTGCTCTGCACCGTAACGCACTTTGGTGTGCCATTCAAATGAATACCAATGCAACACACCTCCCACACCAGAATGCGTGGTAGGTGCGATTGCATGGTAAGGTGCGTTATTCGCACGGGAATGGGCCCTCAAAAACACTGACATACATACACAACCACAGACACAATCTCACACACCCAGACATTCTCACACACACATACACACACCCACATTTTTTTAATTTGAGTTCTTTTTTTAAAAATTCATCCAGTCTCCCTATCTCATGAGAACTGGAGTGGATCCTCAGCCTGGGGTCCAGTTTGGGCTGCTGTGCTGTGGCTCCATCCATATGTGCATTGTGGATACAGCTCCCTTGCGTGCCCTGTAGAGGTGTCAGGAGCCAGAACGTCACTCCGGTCCAGGCACCTCTACAGGACAAGTGAGGGAGCTGTAAGGAATGCATGCATGGAAGGAGCTCCCTCGCGGCCATACCTCCAGCCCACCCATGTCAAGCTGACACTCGCTGCCGGGCAGCATATTTTGAATGGCTGCTTGTTGTGAGAACTGACAGTGCTGCGCTAGGGGGAGGAGCCTCATTTAGAAAAGTGCAAGGCATGCGGTGACACACTGAACACAGGGTCGCAACCCACTTTTGGTTCACGACCCACCAGTTGAGAACCAAGGGTTTACATTATACTGGACTTGAAAAGAAAATATACGAAGAATGTTAATTTCTTCCCCCCTCTATTTGCACAGAACAAACATTCACAGAGATTGCAGGGCAAATGGGTCTGCAAATTGTTTATAAATAGACCCCTATATTTGCTAAATGGACCCACAATACAAATATAACTTTGTGAACAACTATGTTAAATATGCACATTTTTAGCACTTCTAACACTGTTATCTAATTTAGTCAAGTGCTCATCTGGGTAAATTTGACCATATGCTATTCCCAACTAATATACTATATGTGTTTCTTTGCATAGTTAGTAGTTGTAGGCAGGCATCACATACAGTGTGTAAAACTTTACAGATACATTTATACATATGTATTAGGCCATGTGTGACCAGATAAATGTATTATACCTTCACCATATCCCTGTCTCCATTGGCACCGTCCAGTGAGGGAGCCCAGTCCCCTACACACTTCACATTGCTCTCGATGCTTGCTTTCTGAGCAGGTGCGAGAACAATACTTTTCAGTTTTCCTAGCTGGATAGCACAAGCACAGAAAGAAAAAATGATTGCTTTGTATTTCTCTAGTAAACAATTTAAATAACAATATAAATATATTTAGGAAAACCCACAAAGACATGGGAAATAGCTGAGAAAAAGTTTTCTCTGAAGAGAATACTAATGGGATTGCCAAATTATTGAGCTCAAACTCTGCAGCAGAACATCTCTAGACCTGGCCGTTTTTTTACTACGGCCGGCCCGGAAGTGGTTAAAGAGCACTTTTTTATTTCAATAATAAAATTATGTACATAAAAAAGAAATATTACACTACATTGAAATACATGAAAAATGGCAATAAACCCCCTAGCCTCAACCCAAATAAGTCCTTTTATGATGTTATACTAAAGCTGGCCATACACCTATAGATTATCTGCAGATTTTCTATGGTCAGATGGAAAAAGTGCAACAGATTCCCCCATCTATGCTAAACTGTGTGGATGGAGGAATCCCCCACTGGGCCAAGCTTCAGTATCTTGCTAGTCGGCCCTGCTGGCTCTCAAAACACCTGAACAATGCCTGCATCCAATCAGAATGTTCAGGCATTTTGACAGGTATTGACAATAATTTGACAATCATAGGCCTAGAAAAACTTGCTGTACTAATTGATATATTTATGTATTTTTAGATTTACCTTCTACCAGGAGTGTCCCGAGGCCGTGTCGTCATCGCACGTGCGCGTGACGTCACCTCGAGCATGCGCAGCCATCTGATTGACGCCTGCCGGTGGCCATCTTGGTCATGGACCTCTCTCCTGACACTGTCGGGCTCTCCATGACCGAGTGCCCTACTTTTTAGAAGGGCTGACACCAAAATGACTGCATTTTTATTATGTTGGTTGAGGGGTATCGAGGACCCATTTAAAGTGAATGGCTGTCTTAACACGACATGCTGTTAACACAAGCATAGGTGTACTTTTCAAGGCTTCATAATTGCATGATTGCAGGAAATATATATAAAAGAGTGTATACTCACATGCCCCTACTAATATTATTGTAACCTGGGCTTTGACTGGCTTCTTGAGTTCCACATTGGACACTAAAACAGTGCACACAAATTCCTTCCCAACGTAATTCACCAGAGCAATGGGATCATTAACATACAGAGTGGCAGACATGACTTCTACTTCCTTCTGGATACTAATGGCGCGTGTGCCATTTGGTGTCTGTAATGTGTAAGACACATTGACTCCTTTCAATAGAGCACAGTTTTCAATGCACACTTTTCCTACCTGAGGTAAAACAGAAGAAACAGCAGTTAGTTAACTGTAATGGTAAAGGGTGTTACAAGTTTTCCTTGTTTCCTGTTATACAACATAGCAAAAAAAAAAACCCTGGACAGTATGAACACCCACCAAAATGACCCCTTTTGGAAAGTAGGTGATGTAATTTTTTGCCACATCTTTTTTACCAACCAGGTTGGTATTGAAGATCATGTACAGGTCACTCATAGGCACAGCTGCCACCTGATGTCACAGAGACATAAAATAACGAGACATCAGAAATTTACATTTGTCGTTGGAACAGTAGGTCCAATGGGGACCCTCGATGGTCTAAAAGTGCACAGATTCCTTCTCATTTCCTGTTATGACATTGGAATGGGAAATGAAGGGAAAATGAACTGTGGGGTTTGAACTCTTCCTTCCTTTATCCAAAACCAAATAAATGTCTGCTATACATAAAATGTTATGCAAACCTGTCGTCCATTGTAAATTCTTAAACATAAACATTCTTGATACCTGCTATAATCTTTATTAGCCACAAAGGCCTATTATGTGCCCCTTTCTGAGTGAGAGAGATTCACTCTGGTTTCTGGACTGAGCCTGGTAACTGCTTTTCTCCTGTACAAGGTGTATATCCATACTGGCCACTAGATGGAATGGCAACCAGCTGGCAAAAATCCAGAAGTCAGGCCCTGGTAAAAAGTGAATCCAGAGACAAGAACACACAAGGTTTTCTTGGCTAATAACAGTAATGAGAGGAAACTTGTGATGTCTGTCCTTAGGTGGGACTTTTTGGAGTTTAAATGATTGAATCACTTTAAGGAATAAACTTTCTGTCAATGCCAATAGCAGTAAATTTGTATTTAACACAAAAAGCGCAAAAGCTGGATTCATGACATGTTTTCAGCAATTCATTTATAAAATCAGGTGAGGTTTTCATAGTGCTAACATGGGTAAATGTTACCCAGCAATCCAATGGTTTCTGTAATGACTACAAAATAGAGTTGTACTGACTGCAGAAAAACAAGAAGTCGATGGCTAAAGAATACATTGTTTAGATGTAAATTGGTTGTGGGCCAAAAAAATGAAGGTCACTTGGAGGGTGGCAAATGTGTATTCTACATGAAGCATAAGAGCCCCCTCCCTACCTATGAATGGGCCCAATGCATGAGTCTCAGGAATTCCGCCAGGAGACTCATGCGATCACCTGCAGGTGGGAAGGCACTGTATAATCCAATGACAGCTGCCATCGCACAAAGCGTTTTGCAGGTTGTTCGCAACTAATTGCCCAGCCTGTGATTACCTGCGAATGTTCACAACTGGACGCAGACTCAATGCAGACTGTTTACATCGTGGTGCAAATGTCCACAGGTAATCGCAGGCTGTGCAATTATTTCTGGACAGCCTACAAACAGCTTTGTGTGGTGGCAGTTGTCATTGGATTATACAACGTCTTCTCACACCCATCTGATTGCATGAGTCTCACATAGGAATTAATGAGACTTGTGTGATTAGCCCCATTTGCAGGTGTAAATGGGTTATAAAGGAGCACTTCAAATTGCATATGTGAATATATTGACTTCAATATTTAATAAAGAAACACTTTAATATAAAAAATATAACAAATAACCTTGCTGACTGAACACAACCTAAATGCTGAGTAGCTCATACTGTCATCCTGTACACATGACATCAATGGAGTCAGAAAAAATATATTTACAGCACTTGACAGTTAACAATGAAAATGTGCTGCTGTCTTATGGTGTATGAGTTGTGTGATGACCATTATATGAGCACATGTATTCATCTGAAAACCTCTGGATACAATTGACTGTGTTATAGCATTTGGCATTTCATGCCTTTTAGACCATTAGTCCTGCATGCATACACAGTGTTATTTTAAAGAATTACCTGGGCAAAGCAGTCAGCATTTCGGTTCAGGGTAAACTGATAAGTGCTATCAGGAAAGCGAATTTCTACAGGCAGGATGGTGACATTAAAATATAACAGTACGCTTCCTCCAGGATTATGGTATTCTGTATCATTCACCAGAACAATGACTTGTATGGACATATTTTTGGTTATGGGTATTCCTTGTTTCAGTAGCAGCTCTATTACAGACAGACATAAACAAAACATTATACAATGCGTGTTCTAAATAACATCACACACATGCTTTTTCTGTTATACTACTTAAAGAAGAAGACATGAAGCCAAAGTTTTTTTTTTTCTTTTAGTTTTAGATAGAGTAAAGGAGGGTTATAACCCCTATCAGATTTATTTTGCCATCCGTGTCCCTCTGGGGTCTCCATAACTAGTGTTCCCATTGAAAGATCTTCCATCTATTCCTGTTCTGATGACAACCCAAAAATGCAATGCTGCACACTAAAAACACAAAATGTGCAGCTCACTCCTGTCATGCACCCTTGCAATACACATTCGGTGCACGGATAACCCTCTTCGGGAGTAATTGTCTCAAAAACTGTAACACCGGCAGACAATGCTCTTCCAAAGAAAATTACATTTTATTCAACATGCATGTGTACAAAAAACAACCACTTTGTACAGATGAATGTGAAATAAGAATTTGATTTTCTTTGGAAGAGCATCGTGTGCCAGTTTTACAGATTTTGAGACATATTTACTGTCATCTGCAATGGATAACGGGAAGGTAACATAGTTGGGGGCAGTCAACTATAGTGTAGTGATAGAGGGAATAAGGAAGTGGGAGTAGAGGCGTTGCTCCTGTGCATTAACAGTATTTGACTGGGGATATATTAAAGTGTATTTCCACTTTTGCAGCCAAATTGGGATGACACCTACTTTACTGTACATTAGCTACATGTTCCCATTCACATATCATTTTTTTAAAAATATGTAAAAATTGAAGCTTACCTTTTTTCTACGATGTTTCTGCAAACTCGAGGACTGAAAAGTCCTGCTTAGTTCTCACTGTCTGGGGGGTTAGGGGAAGTTTTGTTGCACATAATTAATCCTATCTGTGAAAGGGTTTAGAGATCTGAAGACCTTGTATGTTAATCAACTTTTCAAAAACTGTTCCCCATGAGCCCCTTATTAACTCATAGACACAGGGCCGCCGTCAGGGGGGTGCAGCCGATATTCAAGTAAGGGGCCCAGGCCGCGTGAGGGGCCCTTGAACATTACATGAATATCGGCCGTCAGCCGTACAGTTGACTGGCAGTAGGTTTAGGCGGCCGCCCGGGCCCCGCAGCACCGGAGGAAGCCGGGGCCCGCACACTCGAGATCCTCAGCTGGTGTTCTCTGTCACTAGTAGCGGCCTGTAAAGTACGATGATTAATCCTGCTCCAAAGAAACAGAAACAAGGTTAGAAATCTTGTTTTTATGTTGTGTGAATGGGAACGATTTCTCAATTTTGACTGCAAAATGTGGAAATACCCTTTAAACCATCATAAAACAATGAGGTGTGATCCCAATCATACATTTTGCTATTGGGAGTTTCATAAAGACATAGCCAGGGGTTGTGGCTCAGCACAGTCTTTAAAGCATCCGAGGGTCTGAAAATGGACAAACTTGACTAGATATGTAGAACGTAGGTTAATAGGTTTTATGGGTCTGTCTGCCCTTCTCTGGCTTCTCACACACAACTCTACCCCATATTGTTCAGTGCCAACCATAGCACAGGGGACCTCCTCCAGAGACTTCAGTCATCTCATATTTTTGAGGTGCTATGGCTGCCGAAACGTTCAGACATTACCTACAAAAGGCCAATAAACTAGAACAGGAAATCAACCTCTTTCAAACTGATCATATCTAGTGTTGCATTTATAAGGAGAAATCACTATAATAACAGAGATTTCCTTACTAAATTCCTGAAGTGTTCCTCGGACCACATGGCCATCTGAGAAGAATTTATACTCGCTCAGCTCACGCTTCACCTGGAACATTTCCTGTACAAACGATTCATTGTTAATGATGGTCTCACTGTACTTGTTATGACTGCTGCCTGCAGGATAGACGGGAGTGGAGTCACGGTCCAGAACAAGCAGTGAGCCAAGTGCTGTTCCCTAGATGAAAACACAAACAATTGGAGTTGGGAGCAAATTCAGGAGCACATAGGTACTAGATCGAGAACTAATAAATCTAATGAGTAAAAGCACTACCAATAAAATAGCCAATGAAGCAAGAATTCCCCTCTCCTGATCTTCGATAGGTGATATGTTAAAGGGTATTAAAACACAAAAACATGATACATAGTACAGCTTACCAGAGCATATATGTGTTGGTTCCAATAACTTTCTTTTTTCCTTTTTTTTCACCTGATAATCTCCATTAAATAAACAGAAGTGTTCTGTAGATCAGAGAAGATAGTTGGGAAGGCTAATAACCGTTTAGAACACAAGAAGTTATAGAATACTGCAGTCAACAGGTATTTTTCACTAGGATAGATATTGTTTCATAGCTCCAAATCTCTCAATGTAAATTCCAACAGCCTCGGGAATGTTGGGTGCTGTCCATACGAGCAGCCTCAGCCCCACAAACACTTCTACAAAAGAACAAACCTCCAGTACCTTCACTGCTGCTTTAATGTGTTTCACCCATAAGGGCTTAATCTCTGTGAGATTAGAGGGCACCATCCCTCCTAGGTTAGAAGGGCAGTTTCTAGGCAAGGATTGTAACATTGACTCCTATTGATCAAATAACGTTTTTCACTGAGTGAAGGTACCGGAGGTGCGATTGTTCTTTTGAGGTATTTTTCTCTACTTGCAGAAAATGTTCTCAGCCTTAAAAAAGAAAACTAATGCAGCTATTATATCTAAGAACTGGTCAGCTGCAATATATCACATTTGTGTTGTTAAGTTTAGATATATTTTATGTAAAAGGAGGTAAGGAACTCTTGACCCATTTTTTTCAGTGGGATTACTGGACAGAAAAGTATTGCCCATTATATCATCCCAATGTAAAAAACTTTCTAAATGTTTTTATTTTTTACATTAGGGCGGGGATCATTCTTGTATCCCAGCAAGAAGACAGGTAATGATCTAGTAATCATATTCATTATCACCATTCACCTGCACAGGGTCAATCAATGAAGCTGATCACAATGACAGTTTGATACAATTATTAACCAATGTTGATTCAATACAACTCATGACAATTACTACACTGTCTTGAGGAATTGATTAACCCATTAGTAATAGAAGTTGCAAGAGATACATTTTCTGTCGTCATTATAGTCAAGCCTTTGTACAGAAAATGAAAAACAAATCATAACCATAGCGTAAGGCCTAAAGTCCCTTTCTACCACATAAACCAAGGTGTAATGTATTGAGAATCTTGATACTAGTACACAATCCCAGCAGGCAGGTCCTAAGTTAATACACATTCCAGTAGATTATAACAAATGCAGTAAAAATACCTCCACATTTATCAGATGGTAGTCATCCATTTCCAGCACCACTTACCTCCTTTCTCTCATATTCCACCACCACATTAACAGAATTAGTGTCATTGAACACTTGTGGAGGGTTGTCATCAATATCATCCACCTTAATCTGGAAAGACTTTTCTACTTCCACCTCTTCGGTGCTATCTCTCACTACACATTTTGCTACCAAATCATAATTTTCCCTCTTTTCACGATCAAGCGAGTGTTGAAGGCACACTTCAGATGAGTTTGGGTTGTATTGAAAAGGTGAGTCTTTGTCTGTATATGAAGAAACACACAACCATAAGTATTCAGCACTATCGAGGGAACAATTATGTATGTCACCAACAATGACCACCATGATGACTATGAGATGTCAGTCATAGACATCTGGCTCTAGTCAAATATAACAATTTATATTTTTATGTATCTTTACGGCAAATTAATATTGTGACTATGTATAGAATTAGGACTGTGTACAACATTGTCATTGAGAAACATTAAGCCACACCTATGTATCTCTGTATTTTGTGGTATTGATTTCTCACTTATGGCAAGTTCAAGTGGCAAAAAGCTACAGTACATACCAGCCCAATTCACTATTTCACATCTCTCAACTCCAATTAGGTTCAGCTCCTGAACTTGTGACTAAGAAAACTGCATTCTGACACTCAGCAGATCATCCTATATACCAGTGATCTCCAAATTGTAGCCCTTTGCTTGCCTTTTACCAGCTCCTGAGGCACTATTCTTCCCAATAACACAATGGACAACTATCTCTTCCACTGATTACATTGATGGAGTATAGTTCCTCCCTTTGACACCAACAATGGGCACAATTCCTTCCATTCTGACCATTGACATAGCACAATTTCTCCCACAATGGGGCACTATTCCCCCCACTGATACCAATAATGGGACACTATCCCTCCCATTGATACTAATGATGGGTAACTATTCCTCCTTTAGATACCAATAATGTGACACTATTCCTCCCACTGACACAAACATTTTTTTTACTCCTACTGACCACCAACCCAGAGGCATTTTTACTTCCACTGGCCACAGGATATTCTATATTCTGGATGACATTGGACTGGCCCTTTGTTTAAAACGTCTCTTATTTGTTTAATTTTGGTCTGTTAAATATTCAGTTGTCAGTGTTTTGTTATATCAGTCTGATAAGTGCAAAAAAATTACCTGTTGATCCTGGCAGAAATTCAAGGAGCTTCTAACTTCCTGTTCACTATGCTTCTGCATTAAAATACCAAGCAATGTTATTATACCTGCCCTGTTCTCCACTGTATCCTATAGAACACTACCCCTCTGTTATGGAGATGGGTAAATGTGGAGGTGTTCTGTAGTCTGAATCAAGAGGGATACGAGATGTTGAAAGGTGATGCGAGGAATCTGACACTGCACTGTTGCTCTTCTGTTGCCGTGTACCAGTCTTGCCACTCTCCGTTCTGTCCTAACATTGGCTAGTTGCTGACGGCCACAATTCGCACGTTCAGACCCAGATTTTCGGCTGACAGTCCAGCCTTTAAACACTTTAACAATGAGCCCCTCTTGAACATTTAACGAATTCTGCTGTTTTGCTGATACTCGCTCCATGGCTCCGAGCGCCAACAATCATCCCACGTTCAAAGGCTGTTAAATCGCGTTATTTACCCATATCTTCAGAAAAAATTCACTTCTACTGTCGTGGTAAACAACCTGCTTCCCTATTTATAATGGTCTGGCCCTCTAGCAACTTCAGCGCAAAATTATAGCTAATTATAGCTAATTTGCCTACAAACGTCAGGTGGTCATAATAAACTGGCCACTCAGTGTATATAGGTAACACAAAATAAAACTCAAAGAGGCAGGTCTATCTGACACCAGGGTACACAGTGCTCATGGTCAGGGCTGGTGATCTGGCTATAGACTACAAGTGTTGTTGGGAAGTTGCAGGAAACACTGGTGTCATCTCTCCTGGTGGAAGCCCCATGTTATTTTTACCTGTGACGAGTGGTTCCTAAGAATGAGTTTTAGGCAACAAGTCTTCCATAGGCTTTTTACACCATTATTGCCTATTATGATAAAAAGCTATTACGTCTACAACATGCTGGGGTGCTTTGTATTTTGCTCTACTTTTCATTCTCCTTCTACAGCAACAGAGCATTGCAGTTTTCATGAATGGTTTTAACCCTTTTTCTGGCTCCTTTTTCCAGAAGGTAGAGTAAATCATACACTGGTACATTTCCTATGAATGTTCATACCATAAATCTTATCAGAAGATTCAATAATGCCATCAGAGACTTGATGAATGACGTTCAAAATTTCATTTGATTTTAACATTTGGTTTTGGAATAAATGGAGTGGAGTTCCCCAAAAGAAAGCCACATTCCTTTGCAATTATCAAAAAACTCTAACAAAACGTTTAAAAAGTTATATTGAAAGACCAAAAGGGAGCAAATTAGAGAAGTTGATTGTTAGGGCTTACATACACTTTATTTGAAGTGAAATTAGATAAATGAGACAGTTCAGGGCTTACCCAATATTAATGTATAGGAGATACTAATATTATGACATTTCTGTAATGGAAAGCGAGGACGGAATTGATAAAATTTGCTGGAAGGTCTTTCCTCTTTTATGTGGAAGGAGAGATCCGGGTCACTGAAGCACAAGTCTTTTAACTGTACAGAGGAACAGCTAGGGATCATGATGTTCTTAAATGAAAGGTTTATAAAAGAGGAGGGAGCTTTTGCACAGTTCTCTTGAGAAGCAGCGGTGGAAACCTTCAGTCTGAACCGGTTGAATACCGAACCTTGTAATATTGAGAAAGGAAATACATTAAAATACATAAAAAATGTAACACATTGTTCACCAAATGGTAGCATAGGCATGCTTCAGAACACTATGACAAACCTCAGGGCTGAGTATGAAATATTTCATCTGGGTCATTACAGGAACCCCCTAAAGAGATAACTGAGGATTGCTGTTATATACCCGCCCCCTGGACCGGAATCTCGCTTTCTTGATGACCTCTCTGCCTGGCTACCCTACTTTCTCTCCTCAGAAATACCCACTATCATTCTTGGTGACTTTAACATTGCTAATAACAATAACAACTCGGCTTACACTAAATTTCTTAACCTAACCTCTTCTTTTGACCTAACACAATGGACACACACTCCTACTCACTCTAATAGAAACATACTAGATCTTGTTTTCTCTCACCTGTGCACGCCTTGCAATTTCTCCAACACCCCTTTCCCGCTCTCTGACCACAACCTCACAGTCTTACATCTATAATATGCAAACTGTTAGAGGGAATGATAAAGGACTACTTAGTAGAGTTCGTTAATTAAAATGGTATAATAAATGATAACCAGCATTGATTTAGGAAGGACCGTTCCTGCCAGACCAACCTACTGACATTCTACGAAGAGGTAAGTAGAGATCTGGATGGAGGGAGGTCGGCGGATGTGGTGTATCTGGATTTTTCGAAGGCGTTTGACACAGTGCCACATAAACACTTACATAAGTACATATGTACATAAGCTGAGGTCTATGGGCATAGATGATATGTTATGTACATTGATAGAGAACTGGCTACAGGAAAGTGTCCAGAGAGTATCGATAAATGGCTCATCTACAGACTGGTCTAGGGTCATGAGTTGCATGCCTCAGAGTTCTGTGCTAGGACCCATACTATTCAACCTGTTTATTAAGCTGTGGATATTGTGTAGTTTGAAGAGAGGTTTAGGGACAATAAAAGCAACATTCAGGTATCTTTTATTAGTCAGGTAATATGTGAAGCAGATAGGGCGTGAATAGCAATGTTTCCGTGTTTGCTGATGATACTAAAATTGGGAGGGTAATAGACACGGACTTAGAAACTATAGCTTTACAGGAGGACCTGGATAAAATAGGGGAGTGGGCAACTATATGGCAGATGAGGTTTAATGTTGATAAATGTAATGCACTTTGGGGTTAAAAATAGGCAAGCGGAATACACATTAATGGGTATTCCACTAGGGAAGTCAGAAATGGAAAAGGGGTCATAGTAGACCACAGCTTGCAATGCCAGGCTGCTGTAAACAAAGCAAGCAGAGTACTGTCTTGTATTAAAAAGGGAATGCATTGTAGCGACATATCTATAATTTTGCCACTTTATAGATCACTAGTTCGGCCTAATCTGGAGTATGCGGTCCAGTTTTGGTCACCAATAGACAGAAAGGATGTCCTTGAGCTGGAGAGAGTCCAGAAAAGGGCAACAACACTAATTAAGGGGATGGAGGACCAAAGCTATGAGACAAGGCAACTAAATCTAAGCATGTTTACACTAGAAGTGAGGCGATTAAGGGGGGACATGATTTGGATGTACAAGATGTTCAATGGGTATAGCAACATCAGCCATAAACTTTTTACTATAAACATAACAAGAACTAGGGGCCACCACCTAAAAATGGTGGAGAAAAGTACAATAAGTAAAATACACCCCTTCCTCACCAATGAAACCTCAAAACTACTCAAAAACTACTCATCCACCCACTTGTTATCTCTCGTCTTGACTATTGCAACTCCCTCCTCATTGGCTTACCTCTACACAGGCTATCCCCCTTCAGTCTATCATGAATGCTGCTTCTAGACTCATTCACCTGACCAACCGCTCAGTGTCCGCAACCCCCCTCTGCCAATCCCTGCACTGGCTTCCAATAGCCCAAAGGATAAAATCCAAAATATTAACAACCACTTACAAAGCCATTCACAACTCTGCCCCCAGCTATATTTCAAACCTTGTCTCAAAGTATCACCCTAACCGCCCCCTCCGCTTTTCAAAAGACCAGCTCCCTCGTCAACTCCTCCCATGCTCGCCTCCAGGACTACACTAGGGTCTCTCCCATCCTCTGGAACTCTTTACCCCAACCTGTCCATCTATCACCCACTCAAGGGAGTGCCTTTAGAGGACTCATCTCTTCAGGGAAGCCTATCCCACCTCATCCTAACCACTGAACCATCACGTTCTCAAACAATTCATCCCCACACAGCTACCTCCTCATGTATCACTTCCCCCTCCCTTGTAGATTGTAAGCCCTCAGGGGCAGGGCCCTCCTTACCATCTTGTCTTGAATTGTATTGTGATTGTAATGTCTTCCTTATATTGTAAAGCGCTGCACAAGCTGTTGGCGCTATATAAATTCTGTATAATAATAATAATAACTTCATAACTGATTCTATCCTCCTGAAAGTCCTCGCACAACACTATCCTATGATAACTCTGCTGCTTGCAGTACAATTTCAGGAGCAGCAGGGGTCACTGTATGGTCCTATACTCTCTTTTATACTTTAGATACTAAAGTATATAATACTAAAGTATTATACTTTTATACTTTTGCATCTCCGGGCAAACAAAAAAACTACGCTTGCAGTGGGGCTACATCTCCCTTATAGGAGACTCCCCCAGGAGCTAGCCCTAGCTAGCTCAGTTAATTCTCTAAAAAAAAATCTGGATGTATTCCTAAATGTACAGAATATTATTGGATATTGAGTTCTTATAGCTACATACTAAGCATCAGAGATTGTTGATCCTGGGAATATCCGATTGCCTTATGGGATCAGGAAGGAATTTTTTTTCCCCTGTTGGAGCAAATTGAACCATGCTTTATAGAAGTTTTATTTTCCTTCCTCTGGATCAACAGTGGGTAACTGTGGGCATAGCGTTCTGTGGGCATAACTGTGGGCATACATGTAACTATGTATCCCAGACTTACTGAATTCAGAGAAGTACTTCTTTGTCATTGTCTGGCTCAAAGAGAGAATTCCCGTATGCTGATCCATGTGGAAAAAGCGTATATATTTTTCATTCAGAAGGTTCTGACATAGTCTGTAGCGTGGCACCTCTCCTAGGACATCGATCATTGTATGGACTTGTAAGATAAATGATCCAGCGGGCTGGTTTGGATATACATCTTCAAAGTATTCTTTTCTTGGAAAATACAGACCAGCAGCAACTGCCAAAAACAAAATAAAAACAAAAACACCTTGCTGTGTTAAAAGTTCATCTTATCATGATTCAGCAAATATAATCTTGACCAAATTATTTTATAATATTGTAGGTGCATCTACGGCCCCGGAAAGTTCTGTATTCTTGACAACATTTTCTAATTTCCGTGGAACTGTTTCTTTAGAAGGTACACTCCAGTCAAAGATGAAAATGGTGCCTTGAGATGCAAACAATGAGCACAATCTACCTGTTATGTATCTTCAGGTTTTCACGCAGACATACCAATCCTCCCCACCAAAATTTGACACATTCCCAGGAGGTGAGTGCATGTGAAGGAAGTGCACCCAGTTAAAGAAATCATTTTTAAACAGGCACATAATAGAACTAATTTTTTCATATGTGTTCCTGTCATTTAACTTGACTAGGGTATTAAAGATGTCGTGTTTCCAGGTGCCAGACCGCCACTCCTTTTCTAACCTTTCCATTAATAATCAAACACTCGACACCAATTGGAAATGGCCACAGTAGCCTTTTTTTAATAAACATCTAAATAACAGAAATAGAATAACAGTATGAAGGGGCCCAAGGTCCTTTGGAAGACACTTTTATGTAAATTCTGTATCTACAAACCTGTAACATAGGCCTCCAGTCGCTTAACACTGACTTGGAGACAATTGCACCATAAAATGCAAATACAACTAAGAAATTACTATTTCTCTGGCACCAGAACCTGGATAATAATAAGGGGCCCATACCTAAGACAGGTCCCTACCCACTCAACATTTGACCTCAATGACTGCCTTGAAGGACCTTGTAGCCTTGTCAGCTATTACAACTGCCCACACCAAATTCCCAAAAATAGAACACCCCACCATGGAACAAAAAAAGTTACAAGGGACGGGTAAGTGGCTCTTATCTCCTGACTGGAGAGTGTTTAATACGGCAATTGAATTTCATCAATCTTGGTGGTTTCTAAGGGTGTAATAGGCTTTAAATCTCTCATGATTAAAAACCTTGCTGAACTGCCGGACAGGAGCCTTAAAGGAGCGGGAGGGCGTCTTAAGACGTCTTGCCCCTGCCCCGCTCGTGCACAGCTCCCAGTGCACATAAGAGTGGGGAAACTGTCAGCAATGTAAACAGCCAGCGATGGCTGGTTACATTCAAACAATCAGGCGTCTCTAGAGAGTCTAAGTTTAGAAGAAGAGAAATGCTCAATAATATGGTGTTTGTTACTAAATGCAATACCCAACATTAACAGTTTTGAGATATTGTCGAAAAACATTGATACTTACTCAACCAAAGTGCATGAAACTTGTGCCTGATGTAAGTCATCTAGGTCTAGCCCTTCAGAGTGTTACGTCCTTTACCCATACTCAACCTCCCCTGGACCATCTAGCGATGGCCTTTTTGTGGACCTGCGTCCCTCTGATAGCTACACGGTCAGAAGGGTGAAAGTGGAATGGTTCAGAAAAATGCCACATTTTGTCCGTCTTCCTAAAATCCCCTTTTGTAAAGAAGTGGCATCACTATTTGCAAAAAATTGACACTCCATGGGGCTCATCAAAATATTGTTTCTGGCAGGAGAACGCACTTTATCCTCAGTTTCTGCAAAGTGTTCTGCAGCATGCTGGGCACCATATTGTTCTTCTCATCCACCCACAAACCAACAGGCAAACAGAACATACCAACCATTCTTTATAGGGGTACCTACATTGTTGTTTGGAAACTTTTTTTTAAATTACTCAATACAAGTACCTCCAGCTAAAGATTTTTATAGAATAAATACATTTTGCAGTCTGCATTTTGCCTAGATGACCTTAGTGAAGTAAATGAATACTTCAGTCAATGTTTTGTTTTCACCTGGAATTAGCATTAGATTATTTTGTTTTGCTTAAAGGAGAACTATGGGGTTAAGGCTTTTCCCCATAGTTCTCCTTAGTGTAACGGGAGGACACAAACTAGCGTCCTCCCGTCCTAAGCTACATCTTGCGGTATACTGAGACGCCACAGTATACCGCGAGCGGTATACTGAGATGCCGCAGCTGAAGCGGATCCCGACAATTATGTCTGTGTGAGTGACAGCTGGCTCTTCCTATCTAGAGGCAGAGCCAGCTGTACCCGCCCCCTCCTCCGTCCATTCCGCCAGTGAGCGCTGGCGGATCGGAGCGGGGAGGGGGGAATCCAGCCCCTCCCCTGTCACGGCAGAGAGCTGTGACAGGATCGAGAGGTGAGCGAATGCCGGTATGTGTTCGCTCACCTCCCGATCTACTGAGCCGACCTGTGACAGTCTCATTGTCACAGGTCGGCTAGAACTATGAGGTGAGTGAAAAGCACTCACCTCATAGTTCTCCTTTAATTACTGCTAATTTTGCATATTATTTGTAATCATAGATGTAAGGTTGTACACATTGTTTGCCACTAGAGATCCCCCACAGGCCAAGTCTATAAATTTGCTCCAGCTTGTGGCATATGAAACTACATTATGAAAAACAAAATATTAGCATAACTCAATATGATCTAACAATTTGATAATTGTAAATACAATTATGAACAACCACAACGTTTTATTATGATGTATATATAATGTATAGGTAAATACAATCACTACAATCCCATATAAGCTTTATCATGTTTCAAAAGTTATGTTTCATATTTTTTAATCTGTAGATATCATCAAACTACCCAGTGATCCTGCAATGAAGGTTAGACACTTCCTGTTATATATTGACAACACTCCCCTTCGTGTCTCCTAATTGTTCTTTTTTGTTGTCACCCTGTCATAGTCTATACAAGTGGAGGATACACTTCCCTTTGCCAATACTCGTTTCACATGCATGGTCCAATGTTGTGACCATCAGGAAACCTGCCCTCATAATGGACATGCAACATTTGCTAGAGTGCATGTAGACATTAATATCCCAAGATAAAAAATTTAATATATTGGAGCTTACTGGTCCTTTAATTCCACGTGGTGATCCTGCCAGTAACACACTTGCTATTTTAGGGTGAAAGTCAGGGGCATCCCTAGACTTTATTCCACCTGAGGCTGGATGGTGCATGCAGTCAGTGTGTGTGTGCGTGTGTGTGTGGGTGGGGGAGGGGGTGCAGCTCCCTGCCCAGCTCTTAGCAACCTGCGATGCTCTGGCCTGCCCTGCTTCCGGCAACCAGTGATGTCCCGAAGAGTGTCCCAGTTTGCTAAGAGCTGGGTGGGGAAATGTGCAGGGCCCTTACACATCTCCCTGCCTGGGTCTTATCAACCTGGGAACATCTGACCAGAAAGGGGGTGGCAGGCACACTACAAAAATTGTGCAGCAGAGTGGCCATGTTGTTCTGCCTGCCGCCCCTTCATGTTACCCAAAGAGATGTGGCCTGAGGCAATAGCCTCAGGCTGCTTCATTAAAGGGACATCCCTATTGGCAGTGCTTACTCACTGTACTGTATCTGTGGAGGAGCAGCATCCTTGGACAGGGCTTCTGTAGCCCAGAAAGAGAAATGGGAACAATGCTAACTGCTAATACTACAGCATATGTGGCCCTAGTTAATTCTCAAAGTGTGTTACATTGTAGAGCACAAAACTATAAGAACATTACCTCCTCCTCCTGCACTGGAATCATTTATTTGATTGAAGCAAAACCGCTTAAGAGAAGGTGTTTAGCTTTTACTATATATACAATGCAATATATACAATGCACTGTAGCAGTTAACTCTAACAGGTGGATTTACTAAAGGCAAATAGGCTAACAGGTTGATTTACTGAAGGCAAATATTATTCATAGCCAATTGAATAATTTTCCCTTAGCTTTTGAATGAGATGAAACTGTTGACTTCCACCCTCCAATCATGTGCAAACAAAATATACTTTTTTTTAATTTAAATTTATTTCCACATGATTGGGTATTCTTTGCAAAGTGAATTTTTATCATATGCACTAAGCTAAGTGTAAATTTGCAATTGAACATGCCCTACCCCTTTAGTAAATCAAAGTGAAGTAGTTAACTATACACAGCTTAAAGGAACCTTGTGGCCAGACCATTCATTTCAACAAAAATATTCCCATTAGATTATATGTGCATTTAGCGTATTTTATGCATGTTATTTACATGTTAAAACCTCCCTTGTGTAGGCATTCAAAAGCCCCAAGACTGCTGCAGGGCATCACCATCTTAGAAGTAATATCAACAGCCCCAGTAGACTCGCAGATGTCAATCAAGTGACATTCTATAGTATTCTCCATTGCTCCACTCGTGGCAGCTACATATAGTAAATAGGGAGGTGAAGGGATGGAAGCTGGGTCAGCACAGAGAGTAATTAGTTGCACCCAGAAGGATGAGTGGTCTGTGATGTACAAAGAAGGATGTGGCTTAGTTAGGGAATTGACTAGTTCAAAGGCACATTGCAAGTGAATGCTAAATAATTAATTGAAAGTAAAAACATCTAAAATACTCGATTGTTCTGTGCTTTTGCCTTTCATTTTTTCTGAGTTGGTCTCTTTAAAGCAACCCTGTCCCTTTACAACAAATTCCAGCTGAAAGTTCCCTGCAATAGAAGAGGTATTACACAGACAGTTCCGTGAATGTTGCATGTCTGTGTTCCCGTATACATGTTGTGGTTTTAACCTCAAACCCCTATGTGACTACAGGACACAGCAATGACATTAGGCTTCAGATGAAGGAGGCTTCTGACTGCACACAATAAAGGCTTAAAAATATTACATTAGCTAACCTGATGCAGTGTGCGACACTGTGCTTTCACGTGATGGATAGAATGTAGGACAAGAAATGTTCCCCCAGTGTGCTTGAATTCTCCCATTACATGAAATAGTCACAAGAGGATGCTGTTCACACGCTTTCAAATGCAACAAATGTATCAGAAACATGAACAAAGCAAATGCATACAATGATGCTTGGAAATCCCTAAATAGATAGAACATGTATAATTTGTAAATCAAATACAATATGCCATAAAATATCTAGTGACCCTCAGGGTCTATTAATGTGGCTAAATTCC